AGACCTTTGTCTGACTGTCTCCTCAGAGTAATCCACAGTGAAGTCCCTTCTCATTAAACAGTCGGTATTTGTTCCTTTGTTCGAGCGTGCTCGAGTAGTTTTGAGTTCATTTGAGTATCTTTGGCGTTGTTTTTGACATTGTCTTTGGCATTGCTTTAAGTTTGTTTAGCATTGCTTAAAGTAATTTTGGCAGTGTTATGGCATTTTTTTGGTTCGCAGAACGACCCGTTTGGAAACTAACGTTCGACATCTTTTAGTGTGGGCCTACCACGAATAGCGTGTGTTTTCGTAAGTACTTTGAGCGTTCCAGAAGGAAAGCAATTCTTCACTATTTTCAACCAAGCTTTGCACCACAAGAAGTAGAAAGCAGAGACCTACGAAGGGCAAACCAATTTGTCGGTTTGTTTTCTCGGTTGCCTCGCTTTCATGTTTGTAGAGAAATACTGCAGGGGGTCATGCAGCGCAGGCTTATACTTTCGACAGTGTCGTTATAAACATAAATAGAAAATCGAAACCTGGATTTGGCCTCACTTGCACACTGTCCTACTAATTACTTGTGATACGCAGGTACCCGGCAGACTGCACTGGGGTTTCATTGGTATGTTTTTCATTTTACCAAAAATCGAAAACATAGAACGAAATGTGTCACTGTTGGTTTGCATTTATCGCTGTTTAGAGCTTGGAGTCAGACGGAGTAATTTGGTACGGTTGAAAGGTCGACGTCGGCTGCGATAAGTTCCCATCAGATGGAAAATAAACAACAAATTCTAATTTCACTCCTCTTCAGCTTTTCTTTAGTTCGTAAGTGTATTATTTAATCAAGAAACAAACAGTATTTGAAGTTTGCATCTGACACACATCAGTGGCTCTCCCACACTTGCAGAATGTTTCTCCAGAAAGTGATCGAAGGTTTTTTCTTCTCTTTCGAGCTGCAACGGAAGCGTTTAGGTTTGTTTTACACAGTAGAAGTGCTTTAATCTGGCCCAGACTTGAGCTGTACTAGTTGGATTACAGGTCAGAAGAAACAAGGCACGCAAGCGGCATTCCAAATGGCGCTCGTTTATTGTGTATTACCAATTATCATTCGGTTAAAAACCAGTTCCCAGAAAAAGTTTTTTAACTTTCATTTAACGTCCACCTAGGTGTAAAATAAAATTTTATAAGCGAGAAAACATAATTTTTTTTTCTCAGGCTGAAAAAAACCGCATAATACTTATCGAAATCAGTTTGTCAGTGTCTCGCGAGCTATAGCAGTCCAAATTCTCCAGCGAACAAAGCGCGGTCTGCACGCTCTGCAGCCTGCAATTTAGCATGACCGAAAGTCACAGGACCCTTAGTGATCACTGTGATCGCATACAGTTGTGTGTAAAACATCTTAGCATTCTAAAACGCACAACGTACACCGCAAGCATTTTTAAGATGTTAAAATACACACGACAAACCTGTTGATAGGTACTGCATCCTCGTGGCGTATTCCTTCTCCTGGAATAGTGAGAAGTAAATGACTATAAATCCCTTAGAATTACATACAAGCAGATCAGGAATTTCCCACTCAGCAGCTAGAATGTCATTACAAGACAAGATGATCATAAATACAAGGTTCTTACCATTCAGCAAACACACGGAACAACTGACCACGAAAACAAGCACAATCATGGAAACCATGTTTTCTGCCATGGCTACCTAGTCTGATGGAGAAAATTCTATGAAGAGAATAAATGAAATTAAGAGCATGCTAGCTGTGAAAGGGGAAAGGGTAGGGTTACGTTACATCTCGAGGCACAACTGTGCCTGTCTATGTTGATGAAAAGCATAACAAACCTAGGTAATAACTCTACTTTCATCGGTTCATGCAACACTGTTATTATTTGAAAATGAAAACGATCTTCGCAGTAATGAACACTACTTGAGCAGTAGTGATAGTAAGGCCTGAAAAAATTCAGCATTTTTATGATGAAAACCTCCAAAGGTGATAATTTGCTACCGGTAACCGCGTAGCGACACTGTGATAAACATAAAGATGCAGCACCCTAATCTAAGAGAAACAGAATTATTTTCAGCGCTGTGAATTTTAAAGCCTCGAGAAGAACAGTTATGAATAATTAAAAGAGCCGATCGTGATAGAAAATGTGATTGCAAACTGAAGATAATCTGAGTTTTAAAAGACTCCTACCATATACAGGCGTGTCGTGGCTGATTTAGAGCCTCAGACTATACACACATGTAAACATACCCTAACCGCTTAACATTGCCGATTGAAGTTCCAACTGTAAGGAACACAAGAGTTGGCTAACTAGCTATTTTAAAATTACACCAATGCTCAACTTAAATGAGGAATGAAAATCCCCTCACAGCAACAACTGACCAAAAATTAGCCTATTAGAGCCTATTGAAAAAAGGGAATTCATGAAACCAACCTTTCGGTGAAGTCTCACTGTTCGCAAACTTCCTCGAGATGCGCTGAGTTCTTGGAAAGCGAAAGTAGTGGTAATATGACCTCAACTACTCAATAGCCCTCACAACCGCGCCTAAACGTCTGGATAAACAAACAAACTTCTATTGAAAGCGAGACAGATTTTGCAGTAGACTTCCGATTTGAGGCTGATAGATTCTGTTGTGTGATTCGTCGACCAATGCTTTTTTGTAGCTCAAAAAAGAAATTGTTATTTGCCCTAAAAAAACGTGGCGTTGGCTTCATCCGCGATTACTTATTTGACGACGTTGAATTCGCAATGAGCCATATTGCGTGACCTTGGATAAACACCACCTCCATAATATTGGCGCGATGTACTTTGGGAAATTTGGACAGATCATATTTAAAATCAATTCTTTGATTCAAAGCTTGCACTATCAAAGAACATCCAGAATGCCTTTTTTATTCTATATTACTTGTGAGGAACGGGAGTGTGATCAGCATACGGTGGCCTCTCTCTTCCTCAGAGATAAAGAGATTTTATGCTCTGTGAAACATCTTTGACATTGACGACATTGATAAGTTACCAAAGCTGGGCTGGGGGCACGGACAAAATAAAAATGAACGTTGCAAGCATAACTTTAAAAAAATATCTCAAAAAAATATCTCAAAAATTTTGCAATGCGCGTGAAAAATTTTTAACCAATAGCTAACTGTGTGCAGCGTGGAATGTTTTCTTTGGGGTGTTCCCTGATACGACTTAATGAACGAAAAAAGAAATCCTTTCTTCTGTAACAACCACTAACCCCTCTTTCATCTTGAATTAAATTTGAAACGAAGATTCATTGTAGTGGACATAATGGATCATAATGAAGAATATTTGTATTCCTCAGTTAATCCTATATAGAATCTAACCCGAGTGACATCTGCTTGTTACGTCAGTTGTTTGAGCCACATACTTATATGTACTAAGACATGAATATTCTGACAAAGCAAGCAAAGACTGATTTATCACTCACTATCATGTATCAAGTCCCAACTTTCGTCGACGACAGTAACTCGCCATAACCAGTGGTCCACGCCTCAGCAATTCTGAACTGCAAATGAAGAAATGCGCCTCAGAAACGATAGATTTGTTTCTTCTCTATTAGAAAATTGAGGAATCTATGTGCCATTACCATATTTGAAGACTCCAAGGAGTGCCCAATCCTAGTTTGGGTGGGGAAGATGTCTTTAGGAATCTTGGTTTTAAGTCTGGCAGCTTACTCAGGAAGTAACAGTCCATCTCCTCTTAAATTCTTATCAATATGTTTAAGTAACTAAGAGCTACAAAAAGGCATTCTTTATTCAAAAGATATAAGCAGTGCGGAGCTGTTTGTGATCCGCACGTTAAGGACCGTGAAAGACTGAGAAGACGTCCAAGGGCAATGAATGATCTGTCGTGACGGAGAATGATGTAAATCTTATTCCAGGCGACGATGAGTGGAGTATAAAGTCGCTTACTGATGTGCAATGACAGTGAGCGTTGTCTAGTAACGATTAAAGATGTGTCAGTTCAGCATGGTTAATGAGGTTTAGTGACGGAGAATGATGTTTTGTGGCTGTAAAAGGCAGTTTGTGACTGCATGTGCCTACTGTTGTAAAGAGTATTGCAGTGAAAAGCAATAAGGTGTAAAATGAAGAGGGTTAGTGAAAAGCTCTTGTCGATGTTCGATGCCAAAATTGTGACAAAAGGAGGACTTGGTTAGAGCAGAGATTGCACAATGGTCAATTGGCGGGGTGGGGACGGGGCAGGAAATTGAACAGAATAGATATATGCTTACATTATCATAAATGTACATTTACTCAAAACTCTTTCACTTTGTACGCCTTACGTACCTAGCAACGTTCCTACTCCTCTTGTCCCACTTGAGTCCGAAAGCAGAAGGTTCATGTCCCGACCGTGTCGAGAATTGCATTTTTGTAGAGTTCGATAGAGTTGCTTAGCTTTTCATTTTTCCAGCAAAAACTGTCGAAATTGCAAAATTCAAGAGAATAGGGAACCAATTGTGATTAACGCCTTGAACAACTGGAAGTCAAGGTACTTCATTTCCGTCACACAAAAAGTTACAAAACGTAAATAACGTTCTTCTTGATGCTTTTCCCGGTGTCACCGATGCCTTTCCCGATGCCTTCGTTGGTTAATATAACAGTAAAAAATTGTTACAGTCAAAACTTTTGGAAAATGTCTTAACTTTTTAATCAGCGAAGTATAACTTGGCAACACTTCGGCGTTACAAAACGATTTGCAACTACAAATGATCTATCTTTATTTGAACCATTATAGTTGTTTCACCGCTGATCACTCACATTTCGGACTATTTTCCTTTCTCGGCTCGTCGCCTCCCAAAAAGACTTGGAGGAAGGTTTACGTGCACAATAGTGCGTGAATTTTCTAGTCAGCGGATTCAATTCCCAAAGAATATGTCATGTATGCATACTTTTTCTGTCTAAAGAACAGACCGAGACCTATTACCATCTGCTGTGATGCGATAGGACACTACATGTAGCATATACAACAAAATACAAACAAGTTTGCCTTGGCGGGATCTGTTGTTTTGAACCGTCAACGTCGTTTCTTGGTGCTGTGACACAGAAATCTCCCTGTAAATCAGCAATATTCTTGCCAAATTTTGGGTGCGATACATTTCTCACCTAGCGGCCCATTAGTGTAACTGAACACAAAAACAAACAACATACAGTAAGTTTATTTTTATCAAAGTTTGCAGATCATTTGCACTTTTGTGATAGTTGTTTTTGTGTTTTTGTCTTCAGTCTAATGAATATAATAATTTTATTCTCTTCAATATTACGCCGCACTTTTATCTAAAGAATCATGGAGGAAACTATCAGAGAAGAACTGATTCAGTTTTTAAAGCAGAAAGTACCAGCTGAAACCTTAAGGTATAATACAGTGAGTTGTGGTATACATGCGATTTAATATTTATGCCAGATAAGTCTTAAGTAAATGAACTCTTCACTGTTTGACATGACCTGAATCCCAAATCTTAAGGCAGACTTGAAGTTGTGGTGCAGATATGCATAAGCTTCAAAAGTTTCAGTTTCCTCGCCTATCTAAGAAGCCACTTTATTCTGAATTCTGTCAATATTATGAATTGGTTCGTGCAACAATTTTTGCTGATCAAGATATGAAGCATTCTGGAAAATTTTAGACCCAAGCAAGAGCGATAATTTTACCTTCATGAGTGCTTCAAAAACTTTCCAAGTGCCTCACATCTTAATCAATGCAGAGCTGATGCATGAACCAACTGCTTAAGAACATTATTATCACAGTATTTTAAATGACATGCAAAGCAAAATTCCCTCTAGGGACCATGCAAAGGGAGAGGTGGGGGACGGCTTTATCCTCCTTTCCCACTGTTTTGCTCTGCTAAGTATGCCCCCTCCCCTTGTTGGTTGAAGCTAAGATATTGGTCTCCAGCCCTCCCCTTCCCCATCCAAAAATTTGCTCTACAGGCCCAGTAAATTTATATGCACATGTTATCAAAATGCACAATGGGAATATGAAGTATGCTTGGGGAATTGAATTTGTTTATGTATGCATGTGTGATTTTCTCTCTCTCAGTATGCCTCTTGTTTGTTGTCTTTTCTAAATTTTCTTTTTGTTTTTACTAGTTCTGTAGATGAAATTGTTCTTGGTTATATTGTTAATGTCTTGGAACAACTTGGTGAAGATGATGAGTTTGATGTGGATGACTTCTCTGAAATAATGACTGCTTATATCCCAGAGTTTGATGAAGTCAATAGGTGCCTAGTTGTTATCTTGACTCACAAGTACTGAAATTAGAACCTGATTGACCAATTTTTTCTAGTTAATTTTAAATGTTACTCTTTGAATTAGTTACAAATCTCAGTAACAGATGAAATAACCTTGCTCATCTAGCAGTTTGTTAGGTTGGTTATCTCTCAGATTAAATTTAGTGCTAGATACAGGATCAGCAGACCTTTATGGTGGTTGTGACTGGATACATGTTCATTTCATTATGACTTGAGACATCCTTTTGTCAAATATATCCATTTAACCTAAAAGAAGGTTTTATTGAGAATTAGGATGACAACTAATAGGAAATTAAGTGTAGGATTCTCTAAGACAATGGACTTTAACTTTCTGTCGGTTGTCAGCAAATTGAAAACAGAAAACATGCTGGTAGATGATTTATTGATAAGCTTTTAATCCTATGCATGTAGGGATGCTGTTCAAAGTTGGATGCTTGACTTAGCAGACAAGCTAGTCAAGAGTAGAACTGCAAGGAATACATGTAGTTTCTCAGGTAAATCAAGGTCTTTTAATACTTGATTGACTGTGTACCTGTGTTTTGAGTCAAGGCCTCTGACCACTAAATACTTAGCATTCAACTTTTGGTGATACGGGTTAGGGCATGGGTAATACATGGTTTGATTTTGCTGAAAGCAACTGCTTTTGTTGATATTTATGTGTGATTGCAAAGGCTGACTTGAAACCCACACTGTGCCTTGCTAATGTTTGAACATGGTAAGAGTGAATTTATACAAAAAAGGTTAGTCCCTGAAGGTCAACTAAGCACAGCTTTGGTTGTTGTGTGACAAACTCTTTTCAACCTTCTTTAAGATGCTTACACTGTGATGAGAGAAGACAAATGCAGCAGATCAGTGGCCAGTTTAGAGCCAAAGAGTGTTCAAAGTGGTGATATTGCTAAAGATCATCAAATAATAACTTCACTTAGACAGTTTAGTTCCTGTGAACAGGGTACGAACAGTTTTGCACTTGAGACAGGCAAGCTCTCACCCTTGTCAAAGAGTAATTGCAATCAGGACACCAAAGCTGAGCACTATATCAAACTCAAAGAAAGTGTAGGCAATGCAAGGTAAATAAAATTTTCTGATAAAATTGTTTTATTAGATTCCTGTAATTTTACACCATGTAGCAAATACATGTATTGTGACCTAATTACTATGACACAGGTTAAATTCTCTTGATGAAATTTTACATACAATGCTTTCTAGTTGTTTTCATGTAGAAAATAACTTGATACAGTCAAGTAACTCACTTAATTTCATCTTATTTGAAAAACCCAAAGGAGAATGTATCTGAGATGTTACTGTACAGGCTAAAAGGCAGAACTGGATTAAAATTTAAAAGGAGTCCTTGGTTACATTCTTTGTTGCTTAATGGTTGCTAAAAAAATTCAGAACTCAGAGACTTGCAGGACTCATACTGTTGCAAAATTGGATTTAAAATAACAGTCATTTTCATATTTCTGTACTTGAGTTCTAGATGAGGGTAAGCTTTCAGGGTATATAATCAGCCTTTATCACAAAGGTAAATCTTACTCTGATTAACAGCTTCAGGGAAGAAATTTTGATGCTAACAGAGGTTTTTCCAGAGGCGTGCTCTTTAGAAATACAAAACTGTCTGATGGTGGCAAATGGTGATGTTGAGTCTGCTGTCCAACTGATGCTAGTAAAGAAAGAAAACATTGATGAAGAATGGAAGGAGAATGTTCATCAAACTGTAGACCATGTTTCTCCAAAGGTGACCTTTTTGTTTGTCGGTTTCTCTAATTTGATTTTACAGGTCACAAATGAGTCAGCACTCAATACAGAATATGAATATTTTATATGCATTGCAATGGAAATGGCTCCCAAAGAAAGTAGTTTATAGTTTTGATTCTCTCTAGTTCGTTACTTCTTACTCCAGTGGTTCAGCAAATTTATCAGTTACAGGTAGATAGATTCAATCTTGATCTTTATGAGAATTTCATCGTTAGGTGACTGTGCAACATACTTGTAAATGTACTGAGATGAAATCTGACAAACCAATTTTGCTTTACTAGAGTAGCAAAGAATATCTCTTCTTTTTGCTGAGATACATGTAACTAGTAAATGTAAGCTCTGTACAATAGAAAACCCTACATGCCAAACCTCATTCCAGCCGGTGCACAGTAAACAGGGGTACTGCTACCCCATCTATGAAATGCTAGTCCATCCAAGATCTCCTCACAGCATTTTGCTGGGACGGCCTGATAGCTTGTCATTACTGCTGAGTAACATTTCTTTTTTTGCTCAAGGATGTCACACAATGCTCCTCACTCTTTTGATTAAAAGTGAATGTCACTTTTTAAAATACCAAACTAGTAAACTACTGTGTTGCCTAGCGTTGTACTTTTACAAATACAAGAATGTTGAAAACATTCCACATACACGTACAGTATATATCATAAACATGTAAAACTCATGTGGCTATGGAATTGGCCAACTGTTAAAGTGTCCAGTCATTTATAAATAAGGTTCACATGCAACATACTCTTGTGGTGTGATGAACCATAGTCTTCCTTACGCAAAAGAACCAAATGAATATACCATGAACAGATGAAAAATTTGATGCAGTTTACCTTTTGTAGACACATCTTCCAACTGC